GCTGCGGGACAGTGCCCAGGCCCAGAGTTCAAGCCCCACGACTGACCAAAAAAAAACCAAAAACAAGAATGTTAGTTACTATAGTGTTACTATTCCATATATATATATATATATATATATATATATATATATATGTTTCTCTCTATATATGTTTCCACATATATATATTTCCATATATATACATATATATATGAAAAAGCCCAGAAATTTCTGGAACACTATGTGGACATTAAGAATGGGGGAAAAAATTAATCACTTGAGGAAAGATAGGGTGTTATTTTCAGCAGGAAACCAGGCAAGTTCAGATAATCTGAGTGGAACTGAATTAAGGCATTATTTGTAAAGCCAGGTGCAAGAAAACCACAGTGATAGTGCAATGATCAGAGCCAGAGAAAACAGTATGGAGAGGGGCTGCGGACAGCCTCCCTCCTGCCTTCCCAGGAGGGACAAGGTGTACTTCTGAGATGCAGCCGGGAGACATCCATAGAAAGGATCCCCAGAACCTGCCCCGCTCTTAGCTACAATCACCTGCTGGTGCCCCAGAGAGTGGAAGAGCCCACGGGAGTCCAGCAGGTGAGCCCAGGTGAGAGCAGGAAAAGAGTAGATCTGAGGAACAAAGAAAACATTCCAGCACTGATAGTCACAGCAAGAAATTTTAAAAGGTGTTTATGTTGGTAAAAATTAAATGTAAATAAAATATAACCACTTATATTCTGGGAACAAGCTGGGTTCACACTTGTAGTCCTAGTTATTCAGTAGACTGAGATCTGAGGATGATGGTTTAAAGCTAGCCCCAGCAGGAAAGTATGAGATTCATATCTCCAATTAGTCAACAGAAAGCCAGAAGTGGAGGTGTGCCTCAAGGCCCTGAGCAAAATAAGGGACAGTGCCTAGAGTTCAAGACCCAGTACACAGAGAGAGAGAAAAGTGTTTACAAGGGATTACATTTTTCCCCTGAAAATTACAAGTAATATATAACTACTTAAGAAATTCTGGGAATGGTTCCATTCAAGAGTTCCTCAAAACAATTAACAGTGAACCAACAGCTATTGGCAACTGGTGAACAATTCTTTGTTGTAGGAGACTACACCACACATTTCAGGACGGTTAACATTCCTGGCTCTCAGGGCACTAATCCCCAAGAGAAACCCCCAACATTATAATCACCCAGACAGCTTCCAAACTCTCTTCTGGACCTGGGATGGTAGGAGGAGCTGCTGTGGGGAAGAATTCATTTTTAGCATTTCTTTTTTCTTACCTGCATTTTCTGATTTTTCTACAGACTAGGAGGTATTTCTTCTTTTCTTTTTTAAACAATTAAAACACATTAGTTGTGGGGGTCCACTGTGACATTTCTACACACGTATACAATATATCCTGATGAAACTCACCTCCTCAATCACCCCATCTCACTCCCTTCTGAAAACTTCAGCCAGTGTCATTGTTCTATTTTCATACATGCAAATAAACTACTTCTACATAGTCATCCTTATTCATCTTCATTCACCTCTGTTAACCCCCTCCCTCCCACTGGATCCCCCCCTCCCCCATCCAAGCCTGTATTGCTTTTATGCATTCTTTTTCAAAGAAACAAGATAGTAATGTAGATTCTGGCTCTCAGTAAACCCTATTTGTCCTTCCCCAACTAAATTTGTTCATGTCAGTAAGTAAACACAAGGTGACCTAACATTATTACACTGGCGCTATAAATTCATTTTAAAGTCACCAGTAACAGAAAGGGCACAAATAGCTTCTTATAAGTCACTTTTATTCTTCAAGTGAATAATAATTATGAGGACATAGCATCCTACAATTCATACAAATACTGGTACTAGGGCTTGAACTCAGGGCCTCATGCTCTTGGTTAGTTTTTTCACTCAAGGCTGGCACTCTACTACTTGAGCCACACCTCTACTTCCAGCTTTTTAATTGGAGATAATGAGTCTCTAGGATTTGTCTGCCCAGGCTGGCTTTAGCTATGATCCTCAGATCTTAGCCTGTGACTAGCTAGGAGCCACTGGCAGCCTGCAGAAATCAGGATCCTAGAGTAGTTTGGCTGGGTGTTGTGGGGTTTTTGTTTGTTTGTTTTCTGAACTGAGCACTTTCTAGAAGCAGGTATATTTTAATTTCAGGGATGCAACAGAGAGCATTTAAAACATACCTACACCCTTCCATCTGCAGATAAAGAACCAGGGGTATTGTATATCTTGATGTCCAAGGAAACATTCTCGGTAAGTCATCCTGAACTAGATGTTAAGCCATAAACAAACAAACAAATAGGCCAGTGACTCCTGCCTGTAATCCTAGCTACTCAGGAGGCTGAGATCTGTTTGAATACAGAGTTTGAATCCAGTTTGAATCCAGAGTAGGCAGGAAAGTCTGTGAGACTCTCACCTTCAATTTATCACTAAAAAAAGCTGGAATTGGAGCTGTGGTAGAACACTAGCCTTGAACAAAAAAAAAGCTCAGGGACCCTGAGCCAAAAAAAAAGCTCAGGGACCCTGACCCAGACCCTGAGTCCAAGCCCAGGACTATGCATACATGCATGCAGGCAGGCACACGCACGCGCATACGTGTACACACACACACACACACACACACACACACACACACACATACACAAAACCTTAGGATTATAATAACACAGCATGTCATTTTAGGTGATGTTAAAATTTTGACTTTAAAGAGTTCCCCTAAGAAAAGCATATTGAGATCCATACTAGTGATGATAATTTAAATCAGCAGAATTTTAAGGAAAGAATTTCTAAATTACAGACTCTCTTAATAAGCATACTTTTTGGCCCAATAATTCTACTTTAAGGTACTTTTCCTCAAGAAAATCATTGGACATGTGTGGAAAGATGGACAAAGGATAACTGCTAGAGAACTGCTAATAAAAACTACAAATATATTAGTCTTAAAACTGAAGAGTGAGCCAGGCACTGATGGCTCACGCATGTAATCCTAGCTACTCAGGAGGCTGAAATCAGAGGATTGTGGTTCAAAGCCAACCCAGGCAAGTCCATGAGACTCTTTATCTATGATTAACCACCAGAAAACCAGAAGTGGCACGGTGGGTCAAGTGGTAGAGTACTAGCCTTGAGCTGAAGAGCTCAGGGAAAGAACCCAGGCCCACAGTTTAAGCCCCACGACTGACCCTCCACCCCAAAAAAAGGAAGAGTGAGTTCAAGTGCAATTTTCCATTTTTCCTTATAAAGGAAAAAGTGTGGTCATGTGAGAGATCCCCTGACAAACATTGATGGCATAATAAATGTGAATAGTGGGTCACAAAACATGAGGAAAACTGTGAGAAAATATTGCATGGGGCCAAGTACTAGTGGCTCACACCACTTGCCTACCTAGTAGCTAGTAATCCTAACTATTTAGGATGCTGAGATCTGAGGATTGTGCTTCATTCGAAGCCAGCCAGAGCAGACAAATCTGAGAGACTTTCATCTCCAATTAACCAGCAAAAACCAGAAGTGGAAGTGTGGCTCAAATAGCAGTGGACTAGCGTTGAGAGAAAAGCCAAGTGGGTGTGTGAGGTCCTGAGTTCAAGCCCCTGTATCATCACAAACGAAACAAAATTAAAAACCCTTAATAAAATCTAGAAATACAATGCCAACAGTTATTCATGTACATATCTTCTGCTTTTATATTTTTTGAAGAAAAACAAAAGAACAATAGAGAACATATTGATCTAAAATCAGAAAATAAGACCTCATGCCTGGTCCAAACCCACCCCCTCTGTCATCTTAGCTTGTTTGCTCTGCTGCAGCAAGTGAGCCTGCCAACTTCTTCACTCACATAGCAAATATTTGTTGAGTTCGTTAAAGCCAAGGCCTGCAAGGTGATTCCAATACTTTTGACTATGTATTGGGTCTCCCGATGTCCCCAGTATGGTTCAGGGAACCAGCTGGGAGAAAGGCTAAACCAATATTTTTCAAACCTTGGTTTGATTCAGTGGCTCCGGGGTTATCTGAAATTTCTCAGAAGGGCTGTGCAAGTCATGAGCCATTCATTCTCTAGCTCTCACCAATTCCACAAACATTCACACCCAAGTCTCAGAGATACAACAGACATTGGTTAGACAGCGGAAAGACATATCTCTCAACTGTAAACAGCAGAAAAAAAGGTGGGCCTAGTTTTGAATCCAAACTCCTCCATCTTCTCCAGTTCTAACTGAAGCTACCTTCACAGGGAGAGAGCGGTTTTTGTGTGAATGAGATGATAGACACCAGGAATCCCAAGGTCCTGGTCACAGGGCTCCCAACTTTTGTCACCCTGAGAGGCTGGAGCAGACTTCTAGAGATATCTAGTGACATCCCAAGAGTGTCAGCCTTGAGGTTCCCAAAGGGCACTGCACATGCCAGTCTCCTTCCTGGAAGGGACCTCTGGCTCTCAAAGACATTGAGACTCTCAGACTTCATTCAGTTAAGTTGACTGACTTCATTCTCACTGAGAGATAATTTAAAAGGAAAGGGTCATCTCCCAACTGACTGTGTGTGTGTGTGTGTGTGTGTGTGTGTGTGTGTGTGTGTGTGTATGCGAGCGCATGGGCCACTTCTAGCTTTTTTTTTTTTTCCTGCTGGGGCTGACTTTGAACCAAGATCCTCCTATCTCAGCCTCCGAAGCAGCTGATATTTTAGGCTTGAGCCACCTGCACTCAGGCCCCAACTGATCTAAGCACAAGTTTGCTTCAAGAAGTCACGCACGTGCAGATCGGGTGCGGCAGTCATTAGGTGTGTCTAAGTCAACACCAACTCCACGTCGGCCGAGCGTCCGGCTCCCAGCGTAGTCCGCCGCCACCGAGCCCCCTCCCCCCAGCCAGCTGCGTGACGGCCCCGACACAAGCCCGCGGGGCTCGACTCTGTCTCCCCGAGGAAGCCCCGTTGGTTGTGCACTCGGGCTTTGCCCGACGCCCGGCCGCGGAGGAGCGCGCGCCGCGAGCGGGGCGCGGAGGACCCTCTGCCTCCCCACCCTCGGGGCGCGAGACTCACGATCTCCGCCACGATGAGGAGCCCGGGCACCGTGCGGAGGAATTCGCGGTCGTAGGCGAAGCTGCTGCTGGTGGTGGAGAAGTTTTCGGCGAAGGAGCTGGCGGTAGTGGTGACGGTGTGCGAGCGGGCGCGCTGCGGCTCCTCCATCGTCTCCGGGGACCCCGGCGCGTCCTCCGCCGGACGCGCGGCCCTGGGGCCGGGGTCGCCGGCGAGCAAGCGCGGAGCGCGCCGAGGTGCCCTCCGGTGCCAGGCCGGATGGCACGCGTGTCCCGGGAGAGTCCGGCGAGCGCGCGGCGCCCCCGATCGTGGGCGCGCGGGCTGCGGGGCTGCGCTGGTTCCCGGGGGGGGAGGGGGGAAGGAGGAGGAGGAGGGCGCGAGGGGAGGCCGTGGGGCGGCCGGGAAGGCGGCGGAGGCCCGGGGGAGGGGACGGCGCGGGGGAGGGGCATGGAGAGGGACCGCCCCGACGAGGCGCTGAGCCTGGCGGCCCCGTCACCTGTTGCGGCAGTGGGAGGGCGGCGGCAGCCCGGAGGAGACCGCACCACCTCGCTTAGGCCCCGCCTCCCCCGGGCTCGCACCGCCGCCGGTCAGGCTCGGTCCACCTGCCGGCGCGGGACCGCGGGGGCCGCGGGCACCCGGCCTCTCGGGAGCTCCGGGCCTTGGAGGGGCGTCGCGGCGCCCGGACTCGGCCCTGGGGAGGTTGGGCGACGTCGGACTGGAGTGGTGGCTGGACCTTCGCCCCCAGATCGATATGGGGCTATCTGGACTGCGGGAGGCGCCTGTCCGCCTCCGGCCGCGGCCGCCACGGTGGCCCCGGGTTATTTCCTGCCCCTCCTGCTGGGAACAATTTGAGGAACAACTGAATCGCGGGGCTGCGAAGGCGAGACGCTTCCAGGCGTGGACTCCTGGTGCCTGGGCGACCCAGTCTGGGCCGGAGAGGAGGAGGGGGAGAGGGAGAGGGGAGGAGGAAGGAGGAGGAGGGGTGGGGGAGGAGGAGGGGTGGGGGAGGAGGAGGGGTGGGGGAGAAGGAGGAGGGGAAGGGGAGGGGGAGGGGAGAAAGAAAGGAGGAGGGGGAGGGGACGAGGGAAGGAGGAGGAGGGGGAGAGGGGAGGAGGAGAAGGCGACGACGACATTTTGGAGGTCCCCAGTCAAAGTGAATCAGAGTGACCCATGGGGAGAAAATGTTTCATAAAAGGCTGTGCCGTGTGAAGGTTAGGGTGCCTGGGCCGTACTTTCCTAGGTTCGAGGTTGGGGACATAAGGGTACCTTGTAAGTGGCAGGTAGTGGTCATCTCAGACCTGGGTTCAAGCTTGGGTACTTGCCCAAGTATTAACTTTGCTTCTTAAGTTCTATTTTTTTCTGGGCCTCTGAGGTTCTATCTCTTAAAATACCATGTACTGATGGATGAACATACAGCCAAACAAACAAACAAACAAACACCTTGTGCCCCTCCTGCTTTGTGAAAGGTAACAACAGATGTTTTATCTAGGAGTATCCAGGGGAAAAGGATCCCATCAAAGAAGATTCACAGTGAAGGCATTCCTGACCATCTGTTCCAGAGCAGGTTTTAAAAAGAGGGGGAGCCAAGCACCAATTACAGGCTCACACCTGACGATCATGGTTCAAAGCTGACTTGGAATAGCAGTACATGAGACTCTTATCTCCAGTAAACTACTCAGAAAAAGCCGGAAGTGGCACTGTGGCTCAAGTGGTAGAGTGCTAGCCTTGAGCAAGAGAAGCTCAGGGACAGAGCTCAGGCCCAGAGTTCGAACTCCAGGACAGGCAAAAAAAAAAAAAAAAGGTGGGATACTCATTGGACACTATGTTGAAAATGAACTATACAACTGGTGTGTGGAGATGGGTTCCACCTACTGGGAGAGAGCAAGGAAGTGGTGACGTCATCCAAAAAGAAATGTACTAATTACCTGACTTATGTTACTAACCCCTCTATATGTTACCTTTATAAAAACAATTTTAAAAAAATTTTGGGAGGTGGGAAAGGGCATTTTATCCCCAAAGTCTTATCAACTGAGATAAGAAGAAAACACTGGCAGCCAGACAAACTAATAAAACAAACCATTGTTTCTTTTAAGTCTAAGGTCTGCCCAGGAACGACCTAGGGGGATAAAGGGATTCCAAGGCACAGCAAAGATGAACCTTAGGGGTTCATCGCCTTAATTTGGTGGTAAAGACAATAGAAACTTCATTGTAGCATTCTTTCTTGCAGCCACAGTTCTCAGCGTGGTCCCTGGCCCAGCAGTGTCTGCATCTCCTGGGAACTGGCTGGAAATGCCCCACCTCAGTCCCCCAGAAGCTGAACTGCTGGGTGTGGCGCTCAGAACTTGTGAGGGAATAAATCCTTCAAAAGACAAGGTTTGAAGCTGAAACCTGGGAAGGGCTGGTTTAGAGAAGCTGCTAAGCTGCTGAAAAATAAGACATACACAGGAAAAACGGTAGAGCAGTCAGAGCAACATGCATGGATGACATTTAGCAAATGTCTAAGACTGGTAGGAAGTCTAGACAATTCTATTTACACAATACAAAGGTCAATCCCTTCTGAAAACCCTTAAGGCCAGATGGACTTTGACTCAGATTTTTCTTTAATTCAGAAAGGTAAACTGGATGCCAGTGGCTCACACCTGTAATCTGAGGTACTGTAGAGGCTGAGATCTGAGGAATGCGGTTTGAAGCCAGCTTGAGAAGTTACATCTGCAAGACTCACCTCTAATTAACCAGCAAGAAGCCCAGAGTAGAGGTGTGGCTCAAGTAGTAGATCACCAAACTTAAGCAGAAAAGCCAAAGGAGAGCATGAACTCCTGAATTCAAGCCCTAGTACTGGCACAAAGAAAGAGAGAGAGAGAGCGCCAGGAGGACAGTGGCTCATGCCTGTAATCGTAGCTATTCAGGAGGTTGAGATCTGAGGATTGTGGTAGCAAAGATCATGAAACTCTTCTCTCCAATTAACTACTGAAGTGTCACAAATGATCTCAAAGTGGTAGAACATTACTCTTGAGCACAAAAACTCAGGAAAAGTGTCCAGGCCCTGAGTTCAATCCCCAGGAAAACACAGAAAGAGAGAGTGAAAAGAGAGAGAACTACAGCTTACATTTATCATACAAAACATCATCCCCTGAGTGAGGTCTAGGTGACATTCTAATTAAGTCTGGTATTTGTGAGGAAAGGGGGACTGAGTGCTGTCACTGAGCTTTTTGGCTCAAGGTTGGCTCTCTACCACTTGAGCCACAACTTCACTTGTAGTTTTGTGGTGGATAATTGGAGATGAGTCTCACAGATTTTCTTGTTTAGGCTGGCCTTGGTCTATGATCCTCAGATCTAGGCCTCCTGAGTAGCTAGGATTATGGGCATGAACCATCTGTGCTTGTCTCCAATATGGTATTTACTGCATTGGAAGCATGAAAATAACTTAAGTCTGTATTTCAGCTATCTATTGTAATTTAACAAGTGTTCCCAAACAATGTCTTTACTTGCTTAGGAATCTGGGCCAGGAATTTGGGCAGGGCTTGGCTGGCAGGTTCTTCTGCTCCATTTTCTTGCAGGGCTGGGGATCAAACCAACCTTATGCAAATCAGACATGTGCTCTTGCCACTGAGCTCCATCCTCAGTGTAGTATTGATGGGAAGCAATCACCCAACTGCTTTCAGTTGGGGTCTAGGCAAAAATGTCCCAAAAGGCTTTCCTCCCATTTGGGCTTTTCTGGGATCTAGCCTCCCTATCCAAATCCCCATGAAGCTTGGCCTCCCACACAGCATGGTAGACTCAGAGTAGCTGGACTTCTATAGCAAGTGGCTACTACAGTAGACTTCCCAAAAGGGGCAAAGGAAACATTGCTATTGCTGTTTTCTTAAAGCCCAGCACCTCAAACTACATAACATCATTTCTCCTTCATTCTACTGCCATTCTGCGATAAAGCCAGCCAGATTCAAATAAATGATCAACAGATCATACCCATACCTGTGCCTGTGGGAGCAGGAAAGGGTTGTGACCTGCCAGGCACCAGTGGCTGACGCCTGTAATCCTAGCTACTTAGGAGGCTGAGATCTGAGGATTGTGGTTCAAAGCCAGCTCTGGCAGGAAAGTCCGTAAGATTCTTATCTCCAATTAACCACCAGAAAAATGCAAGTAGAACTGTGGCTCAGCATGGTAGAGCACCAGCCTTGAGCAAAAAAAACTCAGGGACGATGCCTAAGCCCCGAGTTCAAGCCCTATGACTGACATATAAGAAAAAAGAAGGGGCTGGGAAGGTGGCTCAGTGGTAGAGCGCTTGCCTTGTATGCCTGAGGCCCTGGGTTCGATTCCTCAGCACCACATAAGCAAAAAGAAAAAAGCTAGAAGTGGCGCTGTGGCTCAAGTGGTAGAGCGCTAGCCTTGAGCTGAAGAGCTGGGGACAGCACCCAGGCCCAGAGTTCAGGCCCCACAACTGGACCCAAAAAAAAAAAAAGAAAAATTGTGACCCTCTTCTAATTTGATGATAAATAGCATCACATCTGCTTCATTGACATTTTCTTTTCTTCTTCAGCAGTACTGAAGTTTTGAATTCAAGGCCTTATGCTTGCCAGGCAGGTGCTCTGCTACTTGAGCAATATTCTCAGCCTGTTTTTGCTTTACTCTTTGTTTTTTCCTTTGGATAGGATTTCCTGCTTTTTGCCTGTGCTGTCCTATTCATAAGTCCTGTGTAGTGGGATTACAAGCAAGTATTACCATGTCCAGTTTGTTAGTTAAAATGGGGTCTTTATAAACTTTTTGCCAGGGTATCCTTGGACTAAGATTTTCCTGATCGCCACTGGCTGAACAGAGGAGATTATAGGTGTGAGGCACCTTACCCAGCTTTGGATATTATTTCTGACAATTACATTTTTTGCAAATTTAAGAAAAAACTGTTGGTTTTCAGTCTTGAGGATTTCAGAATTGCAGAGATGTGATCATACCTGGTTGTTTGGAAGTTGGCTGCACCTTTCTAAAGCAATTCTGGTGCTCAGCCAGTAATCAGTAATTGAGTAGTGCCTAGCTACTCAGGAGGCCTGAGATCTGAGGATCTCGGTTCAAAAGTTTTCTAGTCTGGGCAGGAAAATCCATGAGCTTCTTACTTTCAATAAACTACTCAGAAAGATGTAAATGGTACAGTGGCTCAAGTGGAAGAGTGCTAACCTTGAACACAAAGAGACTCAGGGACAGCACCAAGGCCCTGAATTCAAGCCCCAGGACTGAAAAAAAAAAAAAATGATGGTACTCATCTGGCCCCTTGTGTGTTGGAGTCTATTCCTCAAAGAACTCTCTC